TTCCACTGACTGAATTGTCTCCCTTTGGAATGCGTGTGTTGAAGCCCTAGACACTAGGTATTAGGAGATGGGGCCTTTGGGAGGTAATTAGGTTTAGATGAAGTCCTGAGGAGAGAGGTTTCATGATGGGATAAATGCCCGTAGGGAAAGAGACACCAGGGCGCTTGGGTGGCTCAGTCAGTTAAGTGACTGACTTCAGCTCAGTTCATGATCTCTCACTCTGTGAGCTCAAGCCCCACATCGGGCTCTGTGCTGACAGCTCAGAGCCTGGAGCCTGCTTCAGATTCTGTGCCTCTCTCTCTGACCCTCCCTGACTCTCACTCTGTCTCCCTCTCTCTCAAAAATAAAAAACATTTTAAAAAGAGAGAGAGAGAGAGACACCAAAGAGCTTGATTCTTCCATCTCTTTATCTCCACCTGCCACCACAGAGCAAAGACCATATGAGGACACAGCAAGAAGGCAACTGTCTGCAACTCAAAGATAGAGCCCTCAGCAGACACGGAGCCTGCTGGACTTCCAGACTCCTGCACTGTGAGAAATAAGCCACCCACTCAGGTTCTGGAAGGCAGTCCCATTGAATAAGATATGTCATCTAGTGGAAATGGATGAAATTTAGCACCAGAAAATCTGATTCAGCTCTTGTCCTTGCTTACCTTCTCTGTGCCTCAGTTTCCTTATCCGTAGAATGGGGAGATATAAGTCCCCTCACTCCCAACATCACAATGTCATGGTGAGAATCCATCCAGACGAGGTCTGTAAACCACCAACAGAATTGCTCTTTTGCTCTTTGTTGGAGATCTTTGATAATGTGTTGCTGAGCATCTGTCACTGATGTCGAAATACAAAAATTGTTTAGGTAAAAGAAGTAAAAATATAGGAAATGTGGGGCGCCTGGGTGGCTCAGCCGGTTAAGTGTCCAACTTTGACTCCGGTCATGACTCACAGTTTGTGAGTTTGAGCCCGCTTCAGGCTCTGTGCTGACAGCTCAGAGCCTGGAGCATGTTTTGGATTCTGTGTCTCCTTCTCTCTCTATCCCTCCCCCACTTGTAATATGCCTCTCTCTGTCTCTCAAAAATAAATAAATGTAAAAAAAATTTTTTTAATGGGAAATGGGAAAAGAGGTAGGTTAAGAAAGCTCTACTTCTGTTTTTCTTTTAAGTGCCGAAGGGTTGAACTCATGCAAGCAAATTGTTTTAAGTGAATTTTTATGGTTTGGTTGTTTAAAAAACAATCTGACAGAGCTTTCAAAATCTTGTTTGAGTTTCTTTATTAGAACTGAAAAGTCTAGTAATTCTACTTGTTTATATTATGTGATTATTTTATAGTTTATAGTGTTTATATCTTGTATGGTATTTTCTATGACATTGATATACAGAATCTGACAAATAATTGGCAAATAATTAGTGATAGAAACTATGTACTGGGTATGAAATACAGTAACTAAGATGTAAATGACCTGAGATTAAAAATGGTACCTGATTTTCAGGAATGAACTTATCCTATGTTAGCACAAATAGTACCTGGTGGCAGCAGGCGATACCTAAGTCCGGCTCTTAATGGACTTCTTTTCTGACTTTTTAAAAATACATATAGTTTTTTAAATTTTAGAGCAGATTTAGATTTATAGAAAAATAATGATGCTAGGACACAGAGTTCCCATAAACTCCACACCTAGTTCCCTCTATTATTAATGTCTGTCACAATAAATGAACCAATATGGATACATTATTATTATCTAAAGTCCATACTTTATTCAAAAGTCCTTAGTTTTCATCTGTTGCCCTTTTTTGGCTCCAGGGTCCCATCCAGGACTCCACAGTGCATTTGGCTGTCACGTTTCCTTAAGCCCCTCTTGGCTTTGATGGCTTCTCAGACTTCCCTTGTTTTTGATAACCTTGATGATTTTAAGGAGTATTGGTCAGGTATTTTGTAGAATATCACTCTGTTTGGTTTGCCTGATGTTTTGCTCATGGTTAGACTGAAGTTATGGGCCTTGAGGAGGAAGATTTATAGGCACTACTTCAATTTGGGGATATTCCAGTAGAGAGTCAAACATTTCTCTGGCACAAGGAAAAATCTTTTTGGCCCATAGCATCATGGTCCACGGTGGACATCTTGCAACTTGGAAAGTGCTGCAAATGCAAAGAGAATCTTCCAGCAAAGTTTATTCTCCTAGTAGGCTTAACTAATCTTAGGATGTCATGGATTGCCACAGGTCTCTTGATTATGTTACATCCTTTCTTTCTGAAGACTTTCCACACGATCTCCTGTTGTACATTTTTGTTTGGTTTGGTTTGGTTTAGGTGGGGGGAAATCTTTCATTTTTATAATAGAATTTAATTTGAAAACAGTATTTATTTCCGAGAAATCCTCTTATAGGCAATGTTAGTGAACTACCTTAGATATCTGAAACTGCATGTTATCCCAAATATAAGAGCCTGAAGGAGAACATGGGGTCCAAGTGCTGGAAAGAACGCTATAACCTTGCTTCTCACAAACACCCTTCACCAGTGGAAGGGACAAATTAATAAAGTCTCCCCTACACCAAGAACCTGGGATGTGATTAAAAAATGGAATGGAAAATACAGTCTCTAGATGCAGGTCATGCTGGGACAGGCTGATAGTATACAACTCAGGACAGACCAAGTCTGAATTTGAATCCAGGAAATTGCAGGAATCCTAAAATACTCCTCCCAAGAATTAACTACTTTCTTTAATTTTCTACAAGGCTATGCTGTTAGTAAAAGGGAAAAGAATTTTCCAAATATAGAAAAAATATAAACATTGTGTCACACACATGCATATGCTGTCTGAGGTTTGGTTTTTACAGTCCACAAACATGCCTTATATGTGAGTGTGTAGCGACTCAATCCCTTTATAATCCCATTGTAATCATTGTAATGATTCTGTTCTGTGCAGTTATAACAATAATAGCTTATATTTATTTACAGCCTATCTGTGCTTTATATATTTTATCTCATTTAATTCTATCTAGCTAGATACTCACTGTCCTCTTCTCTAAAGGAGGAAATCGAGGCTTAGAGACGTTAAGTATCCTGCCAAAGGGTATACAGAGAAAAGTCAGGATTTGGACTCAAGGCAAGGACAGTTTGGATCTGAAGTCTCAGGTCATACTGGGCTAAACTACTTCTGTGTCACTGAGTTTATTCCAAAATGCCTTCTGTGAGAGCAAGGACCATATCTCTTCTTTTCTTAACAGATGGGGTCTTACAATTCTGTTCACATGGTGCAGGTGTAGTAATATTTGAAAACAAGGAAGAGAAGGATGTATTATTACTACTGATTATGACTATCAAGGTAGGAAAAAAAAAATCAAATACTCTCATCTCCTAATTGACTCCCAGGCCAACAGCAAGATAAGAGAAGGCCAGCCAGTCAGCAGCCTTGTCACCTGGGATTAGATCTACAGTGGCTCAAATCTCCACGTCCTACAATACAGTGTATTAATAGAAAACCTGAGGTACAGGAAGGCCAACAGATCAGGAGATGATTGCCATTGAGAAGACAGTTTGTTATTGTTCCCAAGAGAAGGGGACATGCCACATGGTGGGGGCCACACTGGGAAGCAGCAGGGTCAGTCAGGAGGCAGAGGAAGGTGGGGGAACTATGGGCAAGGGCTTTTGTTGTGGTTTCTATGGAAGGAACAGGTGAGGCAGGGTGAACAGTCTTGGGACTGGCTCATGTGAATAAGCAGTCCAGCAGGCTCTGGGGCTGCGCCCAGTTGTCTGGTACCGGCCCTGGTGCGGTTAGGGCAGGTGGAGTGTGAGTGCCCAATAAAGGAGGTGGGGGTGCAGTGTGGACTCTGGGCTGGTTGGCTTGTATTTGAAAGCACTCACGGGCAAGTTGTTTACTATTTCTAGGAATTGGCTGACCCTAGGAGAAAGAGTCGCCTTAAGGCCAGCAAGACCCCAAAATGTCAAAACATTTGAATACAGAAAATAAAAGTCATGGTTGGTAGACTCCTGCTAAGAGGATTTCTGGCCATTCTAAGTTGGGAAAGAGATACAAATGTAGTTAGAAGCTAGGCGGAAGTATCTAAGAGCTAATTTAGCTGAAAACAATACAGATGGGTCTTAACAGCCTGTAAGAGAAGCCCTCATATAGAGGAAAAACAAAACAAAAACAATGAAAACTGAAAAGTTAAATGCAACTACCTGGGCCCAGATTATCTGGGTTACCTTAAAAAACTTGTCATGAGTTAGTGCTTCATTAAAGAGCAAAGAAAACTGGGGCGCCTGGGTGGCTTAGTCGGTTAAGCGTCCGACTTTCGCTTAGGTCATGATCTCGCGGTTCGTGGGTTCGAGCCCCGCGTCGGGCCCTGTGCTGACTGCCAGCTCAGAGCCTGGAGCCTGTTCCCGTCTGTGACTCCCTCTCTCTCTGACCCTCCCCTGCTCACGCTGTCTCTCTCTCTCTCTCTCTCCTAGAAATAAATAAACATTAAAAAAAAAAAAAAAAAAGCAAAGAGAACTTAGTGTCCATCAGGCATTAGGCATTAGAGGGTAGAATTGCAACTATTTCTCTTAAATCCAATTCATTAACAAGCTATGTTCTACGCTTTAATGTCTCTCTCTTCTCTCTTCCTCCCTTCGTTCCTCGCTCTTTCCCTCCCTCTCTCTCTCCCATAAACACACAGCAGTAGTTTGCCTAAATGTGAGCTCATCTATCAGACACTATCCGTGTGTCTGCCTAACACACCTCATATCACACACTGTCAAGTCTGTGTTTAGTGGGTCCAAGGTGACATGGTTGAAATGGGCCTTTTTATTTTGCTCAAAAGCTACAGCAAGAAATACATAAGACAAAGTAGAGTTAGACCTGCGTCTTTGGCCTCACAGATTCTTTAATACCAGAAGCAGTATTTTCAAGCCCAACAGTGCTGTTTACTCCAGGAAGAGTTTTCTTCATAGTCACGGCAAAATCAAAAACCACATTATCTCAAGTTGCAGCAAACGCTTTATTCTCCTCATTAATGTCTCAAAATTGTCAGAAGCCAAAGCTTGAAAAAGTCCCATGGCAATAAATGTGAATGTTTTACAAAGAGAAGAAAGAAACTGCAAGAGGTTGTTTCTGTTAGCCGTATTTCTGAGTATTTTTCCTTAGTGAAGTCCTCAAGCAAACTCGAATAAATTAGACACAGTGCCGATAGAAGTAAAAGAAGTAATCTGTGAAGAATATCCCAGCAAAATAAGGATCCGTTGAACAGTCAGCTAAATCCTGTCAGAACAGAAGAAAAAAGAGAATGACTAATGTAAAAATTAGTTAAAGTAATTTACTAACTGAACTGAATAGAATTGATTGATTGATTTAATGGTCTGTTTCTTTCTCAGTGGAAAGAAAAAGAAAAAGAAAAGAAAGCTTACCGGTGCAGCTACACGGAAGTGGTATGTGCTATCAAAGAATGGGGCTACAGGGAGGCTCCAAATGTGCTGATATCCCTAAATAATGGATGAAAAGAGAGATCCATTTCATAACCACATTTTACACTCAATTGGAAAGACTATAGTCTGAGAAAGCATTTCTTTGACTACTCTAGGAAAGGTAGCCATGACAATAGTTTTTGATAGGAGTTGCTAAAAAAGTCGGCAGCTTCCGAAGGACACATAGAAGATGCTGAGCAAAGCCCTGTGACCAGGTCAGCCAGCAAGGAGAAACAGCGGCATTTGGCTCGTGGCGTCCCTCTCCTGGTGGGGAACAGAGGCTGTGCCACAATTCTAGACACACTTCTTCTGGAACAGGGACGGGATGCCCAGAGGCTGGAAAACATTACCTGTGTCATCTCCTGGGAGACCTCTTGGTGGCTTTGTATCCCTTTGGTTTCCCTTTTACTACGGAAACATATATTTCCAAGGGTGAGATTGCACTGGAAGACTATCAATGGCTCTGTTGTGCTTCAAGAGACAAAGGAGAGAAAGGGCAAATTGAAAGCAGTTACCAGCTCCACTATGCTCTACCTTGATAAAAAGAAGTTCGATTGGGAACGTAACTTGGCAATACATTCAAAGTTTCATATAGGCATTTTGTTACACAAAGCTCGTCATTGCCAATATGCCCGTTCACATCTCATTATTACAGAAAGAAACTCAGTCTCAGATGATTACCGTGATGGACTTAATGTTTGTGTTCCCCTCCCCCAAATCCATATGCTGAAATCTCAACCTCTAATGTGATGTGTTAGGAGGTAGAGGCTATGGGAAGTGATTAGGTCTTGAACATGGGGCCCTCATGAGTGGGATTACTGATCTTATAAAAAGGACCTCAGAGAGCTCTCTTGTTCCTTTGCTATATGGACATAGTGAGAAGATGGCTTTCTATGAAACAGGAAGCAGACCTTCACCAGATGCCAAATCTACCAGTGCCTTGATATGGGACTTCCCAACCTCCAGAAGGGTGGAAAATAAATGTTTGTTAAGGCACTCAGTCTATGGTATTTCTGTTATAGGGCCTGAACTGATCAAAACAACTACTGGGATAGCATATGATAGTCTCTAGGGCCTAATCTCATGACTTAAATCACCCCAGCATCAGAAGTTCTTACCCCCACAGATTTGAAAATACTTTTTGAAGATCTCCTTTCTCTTCTCACTGGCAACTGAATTTGCATCTACCTGAAGTTTCCAGGATTTCAGATTCTCCACACCCCTGATCTGAGTAGATACCGTTTGAAGCAGCAAGGTGAACAAATACAGGAAGGAATGTGGGGTTGAGCCCTATTAGAATTTACCTCCCTTTAAAGCTATCAGAGAAGAAGTCCTGCCAGAAAGAATGACTGTCCTCTGGAGGGTAGCCCATTAATTATCATCAAGAGGTTGAGATCCATCTGTCTCCAGAAATGATCTTTTTGCACAAGTGGGACACCCTACAATGTCTGTTGAGTATGTGTGTTGTTTTTAAATCACACATAATGGACAAATGTTCCTTCACCTAAAAAGCCTGATTTAGTGGCTCAAGATGATCTTCTGCCACTTCAGGGGATATACCACATTGGCTTACTTCCCGCCATCAATGAATGAAGGAGGAAATGCTATTCCAGGTTACTCAGGGAGTGCTAGAAAGTAGTACATGTAGCTCTTGCTCTGCATGAAATGTGGTGGGCTCTGAGTCATGAAACACTTGCTGCTTGAAACAAACCTTTCCAAGACAAGCCATTGGGTTGAGTGTCATGAACTCATTGTAGAAGCAAAGTTAATGAGGGAAGAAGTATGAAGCCCAAGTGAAACAGAGGAAGGCCCAGATGGAGGAGGAGTAAGAGAGCTGGGGAAGCAGAGGGGGAGTGTGGAGGACAGAGGAAAGGGAAGGAGAGGCAGAAAACAAAGGAGAGAAGAGAGGAAATGTGGGGCGGGGGGGGGGGCTGGGAGAGGGCAGAGAAAAGGAGAGACAATAATCAAGAGACACAAAATAAAAACCATCTATCTTCCTGATAAGTAGCTCAATGCATAATTTGAGTGAAGTGGGTTGAAAGGTCTTAAAAGTACCATAATTATTTTAAATATTTGGTAATAGACTAAATTAGAGCTTTGTGATTTTTGAAGGAAAGGTACTGATAATAAAAGCTACCATTGGGGTGCCTGGGTAGCTCAGCTGGTTAAGTGTCTGACTCTTGGTTTCAGCAAAGGTCATGATCTCACAGTTTCATGAGTCCAAGCTCCACATCTGTGCTGGCATCACAGAGCCTGCCTGGGATTCTCTCTCTCTCTCTCTCTGTCCCTCCCCCACTCACACTGTCTCTTGTCTCTCTCAAAATAAATAAAAATACTTAGAAGATTTATATGTATAAAAAAGCTACCATTTGGGGCGCCTGGGTGGCTTAGTCGGTTAAGCGTCCGACTTTCGCTTTGGTCATGGTCTCGCGGTTCGTGGGTTCGAGCCCCGCATCGGGCTCTGTGCTGACTGCCAGCTCAGAGCCTGGAGCTTGTTTCAGTCTGTGACTCCCTCTCTCTCTGACCCTCCCCTGCTCACGCTGTCTCTCTCTCTCTCTCTCCTAGAAATAAATAAAACATTAAAAAAAAAAATTAAAAAAAAAAAAAAGCTACCATTTATTAAGTACCTAATATGTGCCAGGAAAGGGCAATTTTCATCTCATTGGGAAGGCAGGAAAGTGATGATGACTTAAAGGATGGGCTGAGTTTGAAACCCAGCTTTAGCACTTACTGGCTGTGAGTTTTGGGACAAGTATGTTTGACCTCTCTAAACCTAAGTGTTCCCATCTGAAAAATCTGAACTAGAAGAGAAATACCAAGCTCAGAGTGTTATTGCAAGGATTATATGACCCACCATTAAAGTGTAGAGTGTCTGGCATATGCTCTGTGCTCAGCAAATGGTACTTATTAATTTCACTATTATTAACAGTGATTCCCAGCAGCTCTACTTGTTCTGGTCTTATTTCAAACTTGTTTTATAGATTAAAAACAACTCGGAGAGGATAAGTAGTTTCTCCAACATTACAGAGTTAGTAAGTGGCAGAGACAAAACTTGAACCCTGGTCTGCCCAACTCCAAACCCTGACTCCTTGAACTCCCCTGGGGAGATGATATTGCTACCAGGAATTCACCAAACTGTCCAGCCCCCCAACCCAGGGGCTGTGCTACTACTCTTGCTCCCACCCTAATTCAAAGGGACACAGACAGAGGGAGTCTGCCCCTTGTGAGCATCAAACCCAAGATCACTCCCATTTTATAGGTGCTGAGTGTGAAGCCTTCAGAGTCTTTCCGTTCCACTGGAGATCCCAGCCTTCATTTTGAAACCTTCTCCCTCGAGCTGGCCCACCTCGCAATCCAACCACCATCAGCCGACATGGACTGATAACTTCCCACCTTCTAACTTACTGATCAATTGTGAAGTAAGTTCAGACTTGCTATTCAAATAATGATAGAAGTGGAATTGTTTCCTACAGTTATGCACTTACTTGATTTCCAGAGAGAATTTGACATTGGCAGGTGTGTGCTTATTAACAGGAATATTGTAATTGTAATTTCCAGAGCTAATTATGGAAAGAAATAAAACCACAAATCAAAATATGTAGGAAAGGCTTCAAAAGGCTTTTGTTACTCATTATATACTATGTAAACTGTGAAATACTCTATAACAAACACAGAGAATCAAATTTAGCATAGTAGAGTTCTATGTTTTCCAGAGATTTACCTGTCAAATTTCAAAGTGATCTTTTTTTTAGGTGCTAATATATAAAATATACTACAAAGATTTATGGTTTGTAAGAACACACAGACGAAGTGATGGAAAGCCAAATCCCAGGCCAAATGCATAAAACTGAGTGCACCGGAAACGACTCTAGTCTCTGTTAAGGAGACACAGATTTCAGAAGACAAATGAGGCAATGGCCTCAAACTAACAATCCCTCTGGAAAAGACGACTGGAAATAATGAATACCAGCTTTTCTATCCTGAATCACTCCCTTTTAGGCAACATGAGCAGGAAATACCACACACTTTCAGAACTTGAATCAACTAACATTATTATAGTCCAAATCACCATTTTGTAAGGGAGAAAACTGCACCACAGAAGGACTTACACAGAGACACTCCCCCGCCACCTCCAAACACATCCCCTATAAGAGTGATACTTTGGAGAAAGGGGGACTTCCCGGGACTCATACTGTAATGAAAACTCCCACGGAAAAGCATATTGTATCTAACACAAATTCTTATGTCCCGGCCATACCTTGAATTATATGGAGAAACAAAAGGAGATAAGTTGGAAGAAGAGCCAGTCATTTTAGATTCTCTTTAATAAACTAAAGTAGGTTGTTAAAAATGAGGAAGCAGAAGTAAAAGAAACTGATCTGAATTGGGATCAGGAGAGCCTTATTCTACCAGAGGAAGCTTAGATAAATGAATTCACTTCCTACCATGTGCCCCAGTGTCTACATGCAGTAGCCTCATCTCACAGACAAGAAATGGACACTTGGGGAATAAATACCTTGTCAAAGTTCTGGAATTTGAACCCAAATTATCCTACTCTTCTTCATTATGTCATCTTAGCACAGTAGTTAATGTCTTTCTCTGACTTGTTTAAGCTCACTGAAGTTCACGTTCCTTAATGGCAGAATGAGGGTCAACTCTACGAACCTCATAGGGACATTGTGAGAATTCGATGACATAATGAATGTCAAAGCCATAAACAAATCATAAAGCACCATACAGTTTATTTTTAAAGCTCAGTATCATAAACCTGAAGCCTATGTTACATTAGGCTGAAAAAAGCAGTAAGGCTGAGAATCCAAAGGATTTGTGTTCCAAATATAGAGCCTTGCCTTTAACCTAGCAGTCATGTAGTACATATTTATCAAAGAAAGAAAACTAACTGCCTTCTCTTAATGCCTTCAGCTTGCATATTGCACTTTCTGAAGCTACGTGTACTCTACACTCCTAAATGCATCATTACCTTATGGCACACAACAGACATGGATGTTGCTAATAACTTTTACAGTATTTGGATTTTTTCCCCTTCTAACTGAAAAAGCTAAAATTAGCTATATTATTTAGAGTTAAAACAATGGTACTGCTTGTTATTAAAACGTATAAATGTCAGCTCCCTCGTTACTTGGAGCCATCAGTAACAATGTCTTTCTTGTCTATAAAATTAACCAGCAGCTCTGTGCCTATGGTATACGTCCTCAGAGAGTCAGCCACAGAGCTGCCCTCTAAGCTTTTTGCTTTGGACTTACCCATTAAAGAGGGAGACTGGAATCATGGGAGCCTTGGTTTATTGACATTTGCTAATACCAACTATTTTATGAGTCCCTAGTCTACCATGTAACAAATGTGTTTTCACTTAAGGAGCAATGTAAGCACACATTGATTTTACCATGTAGTTCCAAGCTTTCATTCCAGTCTCAGAAACCCAGGGCCCTGAGTAAATTCCAGAAACAACTGGGGTATAATGGGGAGGCTTACCCACCTGCACCGGTGGTCTCCACTGCAATACCGATGATCTATTACTTGCTGGATTTCCATAATCTGTATAGAACTAATGGTTGTATCAATCCCTGAATTGAGAAGAAACAGAGAAAAGAAAGTAAGCTGTTCTACAGAGGACAAGAGTATTGTACTCCAGCAAAGTCTCCAAATTACTGAATGTGAAATAAAGTTTCCTAGATAAATGGGTTCCATTTGCATTCAAATGAAAAAAGAAGGAGAATAAAAGGGAGAAGACTTTTGTTGTTGTTGTTATAGTAAATTTTAAGAAAACTAATAAAAATCCAGGTTCCAATAGGCAGCCTCATCACATCCAAAAGAATTTCTGGGCCCTGGAATTCCTACTAAATTGACATTTATTGAAAATGGAGAGTGCAATATGAAATGCCATCTGGCCAATAAAGATGGCTTTTAAAAACTCAGAAAACAGAAAATGAACTAAAAATACAGTTAGAATAGAAAAAGAAGGCAGGAAGTACAAATAAATTATTCAGATTCACGGAGATCAACCCAACATGTCTAGTAGTGTGAGACCAACTCTGATGTCTCCTTAATGGTTAGGCTGCATTGACTATAAAAATGTGACCCCACGTGTGTTCCTGGCCTGGTGCACAGTCCCTGTTCCTCACTCCAGTGATGCTTTAACAGCATGCTGCTCCTCTCCCTGGCTCCACAAAGCCCAATAGTCACTTAAATGTAAACTCACAGTCAGTCCCCCAGTCAGGGTTGGTTAGCACATCTCTTGCCAGGAATGACATGCTTCTGTCTTCTGAAGAAGAAAAAATCCTGTCAAACTTTAATGCTTCGTCAGGATGAGAAGAAACTCAGCATGTGCCCCTCTTTGTCTCTGTCAATTGAATGTTTCTCCACACTTTCTCTCTCCCACCTTTCAACCCACCCAACCCCTACCCCATTTTCTTACAGATCTAGTATATTCTCACCTTCTTCCAAGAAGCCGTCTGTTTTGGTGGACATGGGTTCCCCAAATTCTTACAGGGAAGCCCTCACCCCTGAGGATATGACTGTATTTGGAAACAGGGCCTTTAAAGAGGCCGTGAAGTTAAAATGAAGCTGTTATGCCAGCCCTACTCTAATCTAACTGGTATTCCTCCCCATAAGAAGTGATTAGGACACACAGGGACACTAGGGTGTGCAGAGACAGAAGACCTTGCAAGGACACAGCACAAAGGTGGCCATCTGGGAGCCCAGGAGGGAGGCTTCAGAAGAAACCAGACCTCTCATCACCCTGATTTTGCACTCTGGCCTCCAGAATTGTGAGCAAGTAAATTTTGTTGTTTAGGTTGCCCAGTCTGTGGTACTTTATTATGGCTGCCCTCGCAGATCAGATCACTGTGGTCCACGCCTTCCCCCGCTTTCCAGTGTCACAGCATTGCTACTGAACCATCTATATGGTGACTAATTAGTGACAGATCTGTCACCACATCAAAAGCCTGTCATCTCTGTTTTGTTATTTAACCTGTATGTATTTTTGCCCTTTCTTGACAACTCCAGAACAGGGAACCTCTATTAAAATTCTTTGATTCCTCTGTAACTCCTAGCATAATGTGAGCCACACAGGAAAAAAAAGAGCACTTAAAGCTCAAGGTCAGGACTGAGCTGCTGCTGAAGAGAAGAGTCAGATCACTGGTGCAGGGCCAGAGCTCGCTGGTGGGGAAGGAAGTGGGGGTGGGGGGGGGAGTGGTTTTGCCCCTGTCCTAGCCAAAAAGTCATTTTAAAAGCAATTTTGAAAAGGTAATTATTCAGATGATTATTGTTAACGCTTTTTGGGGAAAAACCCATTTATTCTTAAAGTGAATAGTGAAAGCAATTATTTAATGGCTTGCCAAACAAACCTTTAAAAAGAATTTTAAGGCTTTTCCATTTTTTAGTTTTGCTGATTTTTCTCAAGTATATGTACTCTTTATTGTATTCCTTCATTCGCATTAAATAATATAATGTTTATATCTCTCAACATAGTTTGGGGGAAAACATAGGCAGTAACTTCAATTAACAAGAGACATAAGTTAATATGTTGTGTGCTGCTCTCATAGGAAGAAAAGAGAGGCAAGATATAAAAGATATAAAAGTTTCTGTTCAGGTTTCTGCATGGAATTTCAGGATAGAAAGCAAATGCAAGAGTGCACATTACTTGGGGGCCATCACTCCTAAGTAAATCTGGCCTCGTTGGTACTCTTACACTAGGCACACAGGATTGTTTGCCTGTCCGCAAAACCAACTGTGAGCTTCTGGAAGATCACACACATCTTGTGCACTGTCGTAGCCCCAGGCAAGGCAATGCTGGGCTCTCACAGGTGCTCAACAAATATTTGTGGGAGGATGGAAGGAAGAGAGGCAGGGAAAGAAGGAGAGCCAATTATATACCCTATAGAAAAATGTTTCCTCTTACACATTCAAAGGGGAAATTGCCAGTGGATGGGTACAGAGGATGCTGGGAATGGATATGGAAACCTGGGCTTCCGGGCAAAAGGGAGTGAGATAGAACTTGAAGCAGAGGCAGGTTTCCTGAGCATCTTGCCTAACACGACCCCTTTCATTAAGAAGAAATGGATCATGATACATGAGGATTTTCTAGAACATTGAATATATATTTCCCTTTAGATATAAATATATGTGCTGCATAAAAGGCCTCTACATTTTTGCATTCCAGCTATTTCAATACTAAATTGTCAAGTATATATCCCCTGCTATGAGTTTTGCTCCTGATTGCTTCACAGAAGGCTGTGAATTTATAAGGCAAATGAGGCATAAAAAGAAGGGGGAACCAGAACTTCTCTATCCTTCCTGTTTTTATTCCTTACCTTTTTCTTTTTTTAACTTTCCCGCTGAATTTGCAGGAAAAGGGCTCATTATAAATTTTGACAACAGAACTACAGAGTTGCCTCACTTCCAAAGAAGCATGTTTTCAGGTTCCTGGAGACATAGAATTCTAAGATAGGATGTAGTATCTTATGGGATTACACTATTTTTTAAAGCAGTAATAAAAAGGTAAAGTTGAGGAGAGATAATCTTATAGATTAGAATTCTGAAAATGGCAGATTGGAAATAACTTTTAAATCCCGTATAAAACATCTCCAATTTGTCACTTCTCTGAGGCAAGACTATTCAATTCTGAAAGCCTAGTTATTGGAAAGCTATAAATTCTCCTGTAGTCATACAGGGGTGGCTCTCATTTTACAAATGCCTTCCAGTAATATTCACTATAAACTTAATATACACCCCCAGCAGTTTTCACTGTAAAGTTGGAGATATATTTTACAATCAGTGGAAAAGATCTCCCAATAAACTAAATTAGAAACTTCTGGAGAGGAGAGATTTAAGATGGCGTCCAACCAAAGTATATCCTCTTATGGTAGAATGTGTATATAGCATTACTTATAAAATTATGCTCTATGGCTAAGTTCCAAAGCAGCATCTTGGATGCCTTTTTCTTTACTGATTGAACCGGACTCATGTCAAGAAAAAGTCAATGAGCCCAACCAATTGATGACTGAGTCCTTTAACACAGGAAACCATTTTCTTTCAACCATTTGCTCTTCTCAGAGTACTGAACTCCAAAACAAAATAAGCAGGAATTCCTATGCCTTTTAGCTTCATGAGATTTTTAAAATCTTCACCAAAACTCTTAAAATCTATAGAATTCCATAGATTTTTTCCCCTCACAAGCTCTTTACTTTTTTTTAATATTTGTTTTTAACATTTATTTTTGAGAGAGAGAGTGATGGTGTGAATTGGGGAGGGGCAGAGAGAGAGGGAGACACAGAATCCAAAGCAGGCTCCAGGCTCCAAGCTGTCCACACAGAGCCCAAAGCGGGGTTTGAACTCATGAACCAGGAGATCATGACCTGAGCCGGAGTTGGATGCCCAAATGACTGTAGGCATCCCTACAAGCTCTTTACTTTTTAATATCTAATTCTGTCTATTTAAATATTTATCAGTTCCATGGATTAAAATCTAATCCCTCACATTCAGTTGGCACCTCAGACTAGAAGCTCAGTGTTCCTAAATACATACTCTCCACTTCTGGATTAGTCTTCCCCAAACCTTTCATAGTAAGTGGGAAGAGGGGATAACCTTTCTGAAAGACATTTTACACAATCAACTTGGGCCCAAAAGAAGAATAATAGCTTGTGCTCAGGATTTTACTAGTGGTCTTACTCGTTAGAAAGAGGCTTATAAATGTGTTCTGGGGTAAACTGCTAGATATTATGATTCAACTTAGAGAGTTATTCCAAGTTGTTCAGGTTTTTTCCTTAATCCTTGAATTTCTTTTTTCTTTATTATTTGTAATTAGTCTTTAATGCCTCAGAAACATCTGGTTGAAAGAATTTGCCTGGCTTTCTCCACTTTCAGATTTAGGAACCCCAGTGTTATATGGTGCTCAGGACCAAAAGGGAGGATAGACCAGGAGCAGAAGAGAAAAGGCTTTCTTTACACCCCCAGAAATACCCCACAACAGGGACATCTCATGGCTATAGGCTAACCTGGGGGAGACAGATGCCGAAGGGACTTTCCAGAACCACAGAATGAATACTTTCTGCTTCCTCTAAAGTTGATCCTCAGTACATGTACACACTGTGCCCAAATAAATGGAGGCACAATGGTGGATGGGAAGGGACCGAGGACAAAGAGACTGAAGACTCAGATTCTAATTCCAACTTTGCCAGTAGCTTACTGCAGAACCTTAAGCAAGGTCCTGGGCCTTCATTTCACCAGCTGTAAAATGGGTAAGCTGATATATATCAGAGGTTTTCCTGATCTGGGGACCCTGGAACCCCCAGTGATTGCATAAAGTAGTCAGTGGTGACTGTGGACTTGAAGAGTAACAACTCTCCTACAGATTTGTACTATTTTTCAAATATTGCTGTTGGATTAACAAAAATAATTTGATTAAAAGCTTAACTGAGTTTATAGTAACATTCTTCCTCTATGGATTTTTTTCAGTCAAATGATTGTAAAAGAATAATGAATTAATAGTGGATTCTATAGGTCAAAAAGTCAGGGTGCCACTGGTGTACTGCTCTCTGACAGTCTATGACTCTAAATCCCCCAAAGCCTACAGCTTTCCTGCAGGGGACAGTGAAGAGAAGTGAAGTGAAGAAAATCCTTTCCATCTTTCTCCAACTGAAAGAGAGAAGAGGGAACAACTTTCCCAGTGTATCAGGAAGCCTGGTAAGGCAGGACTTAATTTTCATTTTTATTTATTTATTTATTTATTTATTTATTTATTTATTACAAGGACATGTCTAATTTTTTTAATGCTTATGTAGTTTTGAGAGAGAGAGAGCACACACGTGCATGAGCATAAAAGTGGGGAAGGGACAGAGATAAGGGATTGACAGCAGTGAGCCTGATGTGGGGCTCAAACCTACGAACTGCAAGATCATGACCTAAGGCAAAGTCGGACACTCAACTGACTGAGCCACCCAAGAGTCCCTAAATTTCAGTTTTAGCCAGAGACAACACTGATAATTGTGTCTAGTAGAACACATCCAGGCATTGTGGAACAGCCGTCTTTCTTTAGGAGTCTCTTCAGTGTCTCCCATACTTATGGAAATATAAGACCTCCAGACACCCACTGTTCCAGAGAAGAGAGCAATAAACCATCATCTGGTTTGATAAGGCTTCTTTTCCCTCCACGTGAAGAGCTGGTTGCTACAGGAATGAGTTTGCTCAAGAGTCAAGAACCTTTTTGCAAATGAAGATTGGATCTATTCATGACCTCTTCCTGTTATATCTCTCTCATAGGTGAAATAGTCTTTTGTGAGGACTGCTCGCAGACAAGGACACCAGACATATCCAAGGTGGGCTCCTGAGGTAAGTAAAGAGTTTACCAGCCACTGGTTTCCATGTGCTCTCACAAGAGGTGAAGGCTTTGGGGGATTTTTGTAACCATACTGGATTTTTCCATGTTGGAAACTATGGAGAATATGATGACTCAAACGAATTCCTTTCACATCTTTGTGAAAGTAGTGATACATCTTTGCTCTGCAGTGATGCATCTTTTGCCAAGTTCAATCAAAGGTTGCTTTCATGGAAAAAATAGTGCAAGCATTGCTTTCTATAGGTGGAGGGAAAAACTCTCTCTGTCTCACCTCCTTTTTGGAAAGAATGGGGATAATAACAGTGCCTGTCTTTTAGGTTTGTGAGGACTTGAATGGTTTATTCATGTAGATTACTTATGGCAGTGCTTTTGTACACATTAATACCTTGTTATGTGATGATAATGGTGGTGGTAGTGATGGTGATGATGATTTATAAAAGTCATTTATTCAACTCTAAGATATAGAATAATGCCAAAAGGAAAAAGAAATTACATTCCTGCCCCCAAACCTCAACCATTGACCATAGTTTATGCGTCAGCCATTTGGACTGCTCAAAAACACCCTGGTTCATCTTCTTCTAGGCATATGTTAGGTCTGCACTTTATCAACTGTTTTTAATTTAGACATGACCAATATCACTTGGTTTGGCCAATAAAGTGTAAGCAGAAGTGACATGTGTTATTCCTCGGTGGAAGCTTTAAAAACCAGTGTACAATTCACCTTTTCTCTTACCTACTGCTACAGAGGTGTAGAAATGCGTCCTGAGATGGCATCTCCATTAGCTAAGTTCCAAATGACATCATGAGTGAAAGCCCTCTTTTGATCCACATTTGATATAGAAAGAGGGTCGGCAATAAAGTTTTGCCGCATTAAGTCACTGTAATTTGGAAGTTGTTGCTACAATATCCTGATATATAAGCCATACTAATATGGATGTATTGCTATTATTAGCATTATCATCATTATTATTTTATATACTTGTTTTGTATATGCAGAATATTTCCAAAATAGTAATGAGTTACTCTACATTTGGATCTATTACATATGGTTTTACAGAGATAATGACATTTTAGCCCTTAATCAAGTTTCCATAACTTTTTTAACATGAGAATTCTGTTACTTAAAAAACGTGTGTGTGTGTGTGTGTGTGTGTGTCCCTAGAAGAAAGAAGATATTCTGAAAATGGTTGTGATTTTCACTGACTTACAGCTTACCCTGAACTCACTGGAGCTCCAAAGCCCTTTACATTTTGCTCTACTTGGTTTGGGCAAAAAGCCCAGATACAACATCATTTTATGTTCTAAGTGAGACAGAAAATCTACCCGATCCACACATGATTACATGTTCTACTATTACTATCTTTGCTGGCAATGGACAGATGAGACCTTTTTTCTTGAATCAACCAAAATTTCATCCCTGGGTGGGGGAACTCAATAGTATAGATGACTGCAAGTTCTCGTATTTGTGTTCTTAAAAGTCTTGCCACCCCTATAGAAAATTCATTGTCTGGAACCATTAACAGATTATGCAAGTAAATATTTGCAAAGAAAAAAAAACTCCTCAGGTTGAGAGCCCTAGTTGGTTCTCTTTGAACACCCTTTACCTGCCCATGGCCTCTGATGGAATTCCACCTCCTGGTTGGATTGCCTTTGCATAAGACTTGAGAGGACTCTTCTCTTTCCCCAGATGGGGCAGCAGTAAATCTCCTGACAAGGCAGAATCTCACAGAAAGTGATTTCCGGTACTCGGAAGGAGGACTGTGTGGTTGCCAGAGATGTATTAGGTGCTACAAAGCAGTTGGGCAGAGCAGAGGGAAGCAACAAGGTTAACCTGAAAGGCTGGTTCTTTTGTTGACAATTCACATGAAACACGGGATGGGTTGAGAGTGAGGAATGTGAGAATCTTACCTGAGGGGGAGGCTGTGGGTGGCAGGGCCGGCTCCTGAGAGCTTGTGATGTTGCTGGAGGAAGAAAACAAAATGATTAATGAAGGAGGCCTTCAAGAATACCTCTCCCTAAAGTAAAACAGGACCAGAACTCTCACCTGAGGGAGAGATTTGGGGCACGTCTGTCTTGATCTTTTAAGCTAAGGATGTAAAGGGAGACTATCGTCAAGGCACTGTTAAAAAAAAAAAAGAAGAAGAAGAAGAAAGCATTATGTGACAGATTTGAGTTCATATATATCTCACACAACCAGCTGGCCAGAGATACACTCTCACAGGCCACACAGATGGGAGGGAGGAGGGGCAGCCACGGCTGACAGAAGCACCATGGAAACAGCACAGTTATGCTTCTCTGCCCTGGTGAGAGAAAACCCTCCTCTTCTCTCTGGGGGTACTCCGCACTGATGGATTGTTTCAGCAAGCAGCCCCCTGGCCCTGGAAAGGTGCCTCTGCGGTGCCTGTCAGTAGTGGAAGATTATAAGAGGCAGCTGTAAATCACTAGAGGCAGCCCTTTGCTCCTTGCAGGAAAAAAGGAAGAGCAGAGTTCGCATCCCACTGGGGGAGGGCGTCTGCACTGTGGCACTGGGAGATTTAATCAGCTGTAGAGGAGGCACAGATTTAATCAGCTGTAGATGCCAAAACCTTTGGCTGCTTCTCTGATACTTTCTGGCTGCCTGTCTTTTCAGAGCACAATACACCAAATTGGGGAGACGAAAGAAAAGAAATGCAATACAGCATTCATTTCTACACTGTGTGACTTCCAAATAATGACTTTGTCATTTTCCTCCAATGATTGGAACTTAATATATTCAAAAAGAAGCTTCTCTTAAAGGTTCTGAGCTTTGGGAAGCTATTCTTAACAATGGTCATGCATCCAAACTCACTTAGCATTGTCTTCTTTTGGGGGGGTTTCTTTAGGCCTCTCTCATGAGCCGCACAAGAAAGTCTGCTGATGACATTACAATTCCACAGTATGCGGGGTCTAACACAGGGTGACCTAACTTGACACCCTGCATCTGATTTCCTAGATTGGCTCCTTGTTATATTTTTCCCCAGCAGAGGTGGTGTATTCACCATTATTAAATATACAGGAAGAAATGTGCCACACATTTGGATTCCACACATATAGAAAACTTTCCAGGGTGTTCTCAGCAGCAGCTGGTTACTGCCCAGCAGGCACTACCCTGTCTGGGAAAAGTGGTGCCGAGCCCCAAAGATGCCATCAGACAGCACCTGTTGTGTCACCCTGGCAACTGCTTGCTGTGGTCCAGTCTGCCTTATTTGCTTTCCCATAGCCCCATCTCTCTATCTCCCTATGACTAATCCTTAAATACTTTCTAATTTCTCTCTGGCATCTACTTCAATTCATGACCCAGAGAACTTCTAGGATCACAGGATGAAATGGACATGTCTGCTCCTTTCTTTGGAGACAAATTCTGGTTTTGACCCTTCTTGCCACCACGGGCCAGAAATAAGATAAAAGCCTAATACCCTCCTGATTTTGATCTTGGCGGTCAACAGTACTGGAATTCATAAGATAACTCTGATAAGCACATTTAAAAAGCAGTCTCTGTACATCAGAATTAGACTGCCTACAACCCTTCCATTGGGTTTTCATGGGAATCTGTATCTCTAGAGAATGCTAAGTATGTCTGCTAAAGTAGAGACTCACACTTTCCTGCATTGGGAATCCCAGCAGAAGGCTCACTTAGGAGCGTGAGAAAAGGACAATGGCTTCGAATGGGAATTCTGTGTCATGGTGTCAGACACTTGGGGATACTTTACACAGTCCCTCGCTGAGGGGACAGAAGGATACAGAGAGACTCACATCATCTTCTATAGCTAGGAAGCTGCTTTAGATCGAGGAACTAGATGCACCTTGGCACCTTCCTTCACTTTGCTTCTGAGAACGACTGTCTCCCTTGAGACAAGGCCCAAAGGCAGTCCTTTCCCCACACTCACGAAGCAGTTTTTGAGAGATAGGTAAATACCCCTTTGACCATGTAAATAGCCTAAGAACAAGAAGGACCAGAGGACATAGGCAAGGTGACCAAGGCCCGAAGGCTGAGGGGCCATCACAGCAGCAGCAGGAGCCTGCAGACCAGAGTCCTGAGGAAGACCCCCACATGCCAGTGAGGGATGGCCCCCACTTTCCTGCAGAGAGAGGATGGATCGTGGTCAAATCATCCACTGCTTGTACAGCAAATAGTTTGTCCTTACTGTGTTTGCCTGCTTTAACTGTTTAGTAAATTTGGCTGCACATTGTACCTCTGGGGGTTATCTCATAGTCCCTTCGGTGTGAAGTCTTCACTGAAAAATCTAGAAGAATCCTAAGAAATATGAGTGTCTAGGAGAGAATACATTGTACCTGATTGCCCTCTCACAACTTGCCCCCAAGTAGACAGGAAAGAATGAAGAATTTGGGGCAGTTATTTGCAAGACTGAAAAAGACACACACATACACACACACACACAGGAAAGGCACAGTGAGCTGTTAAAATGTATCAATTAATTGAAAAAATAATCATCCTTTATCTCACATTTAAGTACAGAAAGCCTATGCTTTTTTCTTCAGATTATGAGTTTAAAAAGTGCTCCCTTATCTCTAAGTTAAATCAAAGGTCAATGTTCAGTTAAAGGGCTCCTTGTCTTCAAAGTAAATAGGTCAGTCTCCAGTTCATATATGAGAAAAGGAAGATGGGAAGAATAAGAGAGCCTGACATGGCCTAACAGTGAAGTTTTTCTTACCAAAAGGCCATCACAGCAATGAGCGTTATAACCAAGGTCTGGAAAATCCAGTTAGGACACAATTGTTTTTTTCCTGAAAAATAAACCTGTAGAAAAAAAGATTCTGTGAGGAGCAGTGATAAACCAGCAATGCTAACTGTGAGCAGAACCCCTGAAGACTCATTCCCAGCAGGGATCTTTGCTGCTCCCATGGGCTGGCCCGTGTGCCTTCTTCAACCTCTAGTTCCCTCCTCTCTGCCTCCTGAAAACGCAGTTCTTTCAAAGCCTACCTCAAGCCTTTCCCCTTCCTTGACACTCCAGGCTATCGTAAGCTCTCTTTTCCCCAGCACCCTGAAGGACAAGTGTCTGTGCCATTCATTTAGTGCTTATTCTTCATGGTTTATGAAAGAAGAGGACGTATCGGAGAGGCTAGTGTCAGAACCCAGGTGTTCATCCCCTTCACTACAACACTTTTGAAAATAAAGTCTTCAAGAGGTGATGATATAAATTCCAGTGGAAGAATTTCAGGAATCATGACACACTGTGGAAAAGACTTATGGTATGAACTAGTAAGTACTCTTTAAGTCATACACATCAGTATTCAATTCTGCTACCTATTTTCTTTCTTTCTTTCTTTCTTTCTTTCTTTCTTTCTTTCTTTCTTTCTTTCTTTCTTTTTCTTTCTTTCTCTTCTTTCTCTTCTTTCCTTCCTTCCTTCCATCCTTTTTTTTTTTTTTCTTTTACACAAGTAGAGGAGGAGCAGATAGAGAAAGAGAGAAATTCTTAAGCAGACTCTATGACCAGCGTGGAGTCTGATGCAGGGCTTGATTTCACGATGGTGAGATCATAACCTGAGCCGAAATCAAGAGTTTGATGCTTAACCAACTAAGCCACTCAGGTGTCCCCTTTGCTGCCTATTTCTAAGGACAGTTCTGGGCCTGTGTCTTTTTTATTCTTATACCCATTCAACAAATATTCATTAAGCACTATTATGTATAGAATTATGGGGGCTCTAAAAATAAGTAAGTTATAGTTTCTATGAAGTAAATGAGACAAACCTCTAAGACTGCTGCATTTTGGCATAAAAACTTGCATACGAGGAATGGGCCAAGAACTATAGAATAGAGAACTGTGTAATTGCTATTGAATCTGGCTGAAAAGATAGAAGAGGTTTTATGCCCACTTTAATACAGTGCTCCTTAAATAGGAGCTTTTCTATGAACACAATAAGGAATATTATGTTTGCTTCTTCCTGGGGGGTATAGGGTAGAATGATGCTTTTGGTTGGAAAAGAACTAAAGGATGGTGGTACTTGAGAAATACTTTAAAATTGGTCTGTATTTAAATTTCTTGGGCTGGTTATCTGAACCAATAAAATGTTCTTCAATGTTATATTCGCATTGGGGGTGGGATTAATTATACAAGTTTTTAACAAATATACAAACTCTTAGGACTCTCATAACTGAGTCACCCATAAGGGCAGCTGGAAGCTACTATGAATACTAAGAAGTGAATAGTTTATACCATTCCTACATGTCACTGGAACTGTTCAAAGGATGTCCTTAAAATATGCTGTACAAAGAAGAAACTCAATGAAATTTGTTGAATTGATTGGAATTAAACAGCATTAGGCTCAGGATAAGAGCTTCCCCTTCCAAACTACTCCCCACCGTTGCTGGATTATTTTAAATCTCCATGATTTTGCTCCAAATCCTTTGACCTAGTAAATGACCTAAGACCTCAGGCTTGGAGTTGGGTCCTGAACAAGTCATGTAGATGTCATTGATCTTCATTTCCTTCATGAATAAAATAAGAATGATAAAATAATACCTGCCAACATTTCAGAGTTATTTGGTGGGTCCAACTAATAATGCAATGGTTCTCAAATTCAGGGTCTGCATGAGAATTATTACAGAACTTATTGAAAACTTAAAGGCCCTGGAAAATTCTGCTTAAAGGACTGAAGACCTTCCCATCTCACCCCAACCATCAATACACAGCGGGGATCACCCACCTACCTCTTGAAGGTAGAGAAAGACAAGGAAGGAAGAGGAATTCTAGATTGGATGAGAGCTACTCAGGAGACCTCAGTCTTTCTCCAGAGCAAGTGCCACCACTGGCAGCTATGCAGAAGGCAAGGCAAGGCCCAGCCAGGCCTTGTACCATTTGCTAAGGCCCACCAACTGCCCACAGCCAGCACTTTGCTCATTAATGCAGCCTCTCATCCTAAGAGCAGCACACGCCACCCGTATGCATGTGTTTCAATGACTCAAGGATCATGGGAGCTCCAGGGAACAGAGGATACCTAGGGTTGGTGTCATGGAAGGGAAAGTCAACCTCACGGAAATAGCCAAGACCTCATCCAATGACAGCATAAGGGAAGCAAAACAGCCCCATTATTTGTACTTTATCAAGCTCTGTGGAAGACTCTTATAATATGCCAAAGTATGAGAACCACTCAAATAGTGAGTTTGAAATTACTAGTAAGAGTGAACACTTACGTAGTACATATTATGTGCCACATTCTCTTGTGCTTTATATATATTAATTTATTTAACCCTCAGATAGTCCTCAACAACCCTCAAAGCAGGTACTGTTATCCCCATTTTATAGAGAAGGGAAAAAATGAAGCACAGGAAGGCTAAGTTCCTTACCCAAGATCACACAGCTAGTAAGTCACGGAGCCAGGATTTAAACCCAAACACATTTGGCTCCAAAATCTGTGTTCCTAACCACAAGGCTATGTTCCCTCCCTTCTTCTGTCTGTAAAATAAGAGAATACTATACAATGTAGATATTATTGTTATTATTCAAATGGTTTTTGTGGTTTACAAAGGGAATTCCATAGCAGGTGGTCCAGGAAATCTGAGCCTTACCTATATTTTCAGCCTTACCTTCTACTCTCTCCCCAGCCAACTCCCACCTAATCCTTCAATGAAGCCAGTGGCAGCCTCCAGATTTTGCTTCTGCCATTCCCTCTGGAACCCCCCTATATCTAGCCAGAGCTTACTCCTTCTGGAAGGCCTGGCCTCATAATGCTTTGCAGCACTCTGAGCCTTTACAATATTTCCACATCCGGATACAACTGTTCTTGTATTGTCTTCCAGTCTTCCCCGGCTACCCAGAAATTCCTTAGGAGAAGGGGCCACGTCTTACTCACTTTTGTCTGTCTTTGAGTTGAATGGGTGCTCTTTAATACCCACATAAATCCTCTACTCTGTGTCCACAAGCCAATCCCCTTCCACACCCACATACTCAAGACACCAAACTACTTAATGTTTTTAATTTAACAAAAAAAAAAATTTAAGTTTTTTATTTAAGTAATCTCTACACATCAGTGTGGGGCTTGAACTCATGACCCTGAGATCAAGAGTCGTATCCCCTTCTGACTGAGTCAGCCACGTGCCCCAATGTTTTTAATTTAGATTGTGAGCTTTCAGGGAAGATGGTCAAACTGGGCTTTCCATTCATGCATTCATTTAACGAATACTGCTTGAGTACCTAGTATGTGCCAGTCCCTGGGGATGTGAGGAAGGGAGGAAGGCAGACATGGGGCCTCTTCTCATAAATCACACATTCTAGTTAATATTCTGAGCTAACTGCAAAATAAAAGAGATTCTCCGAGTGCAGAGTGAAAGCTACAGAGGCTGCACATAACCAAATTGTACCAATGAGTGCTGCCATGGATGTGGGTACCATTTCCTCATTGCATTGCAAATTGGTTAGTACAAAGGGTACCATTCCTACACAACATTTTAAAGTTTGTGTTTATTGAGCAAATGCTATCTGCTGGGCACTGTGGCTAAGGTCTTCACCTTATTTAATCCTATCAACAATCTTTGCAAGGTAGAGCCTATTATTATATTTATTTCTCAAGGCAATTAAGTAAGGACACTTACTTAATTTGCCCAAGGACACTTCTACATACATATTTACCCATGTATTTATGTTTATTTGTACACCAAGTAGCTTGTCAGCAACATAATATTTTAGCAGTTTTTAGTAAAATATTAAAGTCTTTCTTAATTCTTTTAAAATCGGTTAATGCAGGGCACCTGGGTGGCTCAGTCAGTTAAGCATCCAACTCTTGGTTTCTGCTCAGGTCATGATCTCACAGTTTGTGAATTTGAGACCCTTGTTGGGCTCTGCTCTGACAGAGAGGAGCCTGCTTGGGATTCTCTCCCTCTTTCTCTCTCTTTCTGCCCCTCCCCTGCTTAGTCTCTCTCTCTCAATCTCTCTCTCTCAAAATAAATAAATAAACTTAAAACTTAAAAAAAAAAATAGGTCATAGAAGTAGAGAGTAAATGGGGGCAATGGCCCAAACACCAGGTCAGCACTTAACACAATATAGTCAAGGTCATGAATACCTTCCCAGGGGAAAGGCCACCTGGGGATCACTGGTGGGGCAGAGGGAACAAGCTGACCATAGAACATAGATTCACAGCATCTATGTGTGTACTAGGAAGGGAATATTGCAGCTTCTCCCTTACTGATACTCTCTTCTTTGAAGAGCGTGTAGTTTAAATCAATAAATGATTAACTTTCACTTTTTAAGGTAAATGTTACCCCATTTGATGAAAGTTCTCTTTATTCATTACTAAAACCATCACACTTTAACCTTCACAAGAAAGTAGAATACCTATTTCCCCATTTGCACATACAGTTCCAAGTATCAAAGGGAAAAAAGGGATTTGAGGGATTAATGGAATTCCCTCTGGGATCTTCTGAAGCCATAGATAAGGAATGAGGTCGAGTTAAGGCACCCACACAGATCTTGCAGCCTAAGGCCGATGCATGTGGAGGCTGATGAATTTCACTTGATAGAGGCAATATATATATTTTCTAAAAACTGGCAGAATAGTATTTCTGAAATGAACATGTTCTGTACTTATTTCTCCAAACATTTTTTTGAAAAAACAGTATTTATTAAAGGGTAGTATTTAAATACCTAAAGTGCATAAAGATGCAAACTAAGGAGTCTATCAACAGATAAATGAAGAGAAGCATTCTTAATCAATTTCTCTAAAGACTCTTTTGTTTTGTGTATAAAACATTATCACTGTTCATTACAAATTTAAGTCTATTTACCTTGTTGGATTTTTTGGGAATGGCCTTTCTTGGAGAAGATGCACTAACAGCTCTGCTAAGTTTGCTTTAAAAAGGAAGAGAGAATGTTAATTACTGTTCAAATGCCTTTCCAGGAGTTACATGCTAAAGGCCCAGGCTGTCACTAACACAGTAGTATGACTTTTTTTGTAATATAGTGGTAATTTTGAAAAGGAAAAGTCAAGGCAATTGAAAGTTCTTTTGAAGAAAAGAACCTTAGTAAGTGTAAATGAATGTGTTAAATGTTGTATTTCTCTTTTTCTCATAATTAGACCCCAGGAAATGTGCATTTACCTCCTTAAATAATAATAAAAAAATACAAGTTTTTTTTCCCCTGAGAACCAAACAGATTTTCTAAATTTAGAAATGACCACTTCTCCTCCTTTAAGGAGAAGTCATCCTTTTGGTAAAATGCAACATTTCCTAAAACACCTTGCTCTTCAACAGATACGTCATGGGTTGTTTCATTTTCAAAGCAACAATAGGAAAAATAAGAAAATTATCACATAAGGCAATTGTGTTCCAAAACATTCTAAAAAGAGAATAGGGAGACTTCACTATTAGTAATGGTTGCTGCTGATCAGAAAGACCTTGTGGTATGATCTGCTTATGGAAAGGTCCTGTTCTCTCCTTCCTCTGATGGTGCTCCTGGATATACCTGATTGAGCTTGCCTCGCTGACTGAAGACTTCCAGCTACTGAGCCGCTTTAGCCTGGCCAGCTTTCTGTTCCATATTTCTAACTCTTCTATTCTTTCTTCAAGGTTGTTGGTTAGTTTGCAGAGCTGCTTCACGGCACCCACATTTTCCATAAAGATCTGGTCCTGGAAAAGAAGACAGTACAGAGGGCATAAATGTACAGTTTGAGACCACCAGGGAACCGTCCGTGGCTCATTTGAAGACCGTTAAAATATACCACTGAAAATAGTTATACACACACACAACCTCAAGTTCATTCAAGACAGAACTGGAGAGGTTTGCAACTTAAAATGATCTTGCTAAACTGCTGGCTCTGTAGTCAAACTGCTTGTGTTCAATTTGCAATAAAATGGAAATATGTCCTTGTAATCCAAGAGAGAAAATGGAGCTGAAGGACACTGTCAAGTTTGGAATCTGACGATTTATTTTGTATGACCATTATACTATATTTAAAACTCATAAAAAGAAAGTCAGAACAGACTTCTGAATGTTGATTTGTATGTACATCACTAAATCCTCATAAGAAATGATTCTTGCTCTTCCTGGTAAAATGCATCAAATTACTTAAGTAAAGGAGAAAGGAATGAAGATGTGGGCTTTTCTCTGAGTTCTGCCACCTACCAGATGTGAGACCCCATATAAAATAAAACAGCCTCTCTGAGCTTCAGTTTCTTCATACTGAGAAGATAATTCTTGAGGTGTTAATTTCTGCTTTAACATCCCATGATCTGCCATGTACAATTTATGTTTTAGCCTAACTCCCAAACCAAATTTAAAACAACACTTAATTCTACCTGTTCAGGGAAGGTCACTGACACATCAGAAAGAGCAAGAAAGGGAAACCAACCAAAGCCAGAGTGTGCAAACCATCCCTTCTCCAACACATACTTTAGTTGTTATAGAAACATGTGTGTCTGTTTCTAAGCCATAACAAAAACACTGGAAAGCTCTCATCACCTCATATCCTGATCCTGTGACCTCCCTCCTTTCCCTCTCTCTGTTTACAAGTTCAGAATGCCAAAGAATTCTTTGGGACTCATAGAGGCTGATCCATTATTGTAAAATGATGAGCTCAAAGCCAAGAGAGAAAGATTGTTTTGTAGCTGGGGGATCAAACTCAGGGCTATGTGTCTTTGAGATTCTCATGATGCAACATGAAGCTTTAAAGGTTTCTAACAATGTAAAGCAACCACTCAGACAGGAACCAAAAGCTCAACATTACAAACTTAAGACTTAGTTCATGAAGTTTAAAGACATGCCCGCTGGTATAAAACACAACAGTAAAAGTAAGTATATAGTCAATTTCAAAATACTTCAATACTGTAATATGAGATGTGTAAATCACTTACTTTAGTATAAAAGATAAGGACAAAAGTACTAAAAGTAACTATAGCTATAATAGTTGGTTAATGGTGCATACATAAAAAGAGGTATATTATGACATCAAAAGCATAAAATATGGAGATGTGAGTAAAAGGGTAGAGTTTTTGTATGTGATCAAAACTCAGTTGTTATCAGCCTAAAATAAGCTGTTACATCTATAAAATAGTTTAAATAAGCCTCATGTAACTATAAAGCAAAAACCTATGAAAGATAAAAAGAAGGGAGTCAAAGCACACCACCACAGAAAATCAGTTCACAGAGGAATTCAGTGAAAGAGGAAGAAAGGAACAAGGGAACAGCCAAAAAACAATGATTAAGGTAGCATTAATAAGTCCTCATCAGGGGCCCCTGGGTGGCTCAGTCGGTTGAGCATCTGACTTCAGCTCAGGTCATGATCTCGGTTTGTGGGTTCCAGCCCCTCGTTGGGCTCTGTACTGACAGCTAGCTCAGAGCCTGGAGCCTGTTTCGGATTCTGTGTCTCCCTCTCTCTCTGACCCTTCCCTGCTCATCCTATCTCTCTCTCAGAAATTAAAAAAAAATAATAACATTAAAAAATTAAAAAAATAAGTCCTTATCTACCAAAAATTAGTTTAAATATAAATGGATTAAATTCTCCAGTCAAAAGGCATAGAATGAGCAAATGAATTTTATAAAGACCCAACTATATACTGCTCCCTACAAGAGAGATTCAAGGCTTTAAGGACACATAGAGCCTTAAGGAATGGAAGAAAGATACTCCATGCAAATGGTAACAAAAAAACAGCAGGGGTGGCCATAGTTTCAGATGAAATAGAATTTACATCAAAAATTATAACAAGAGACAAGGTCATATAATGATAAAGGGGCCAATTCTTCAAGAGAATGTATATCTCTGTATATATCTATATTCTATATCTATATATTTCTCTCTTTCTCTCTATATATACATATATAGATAGATTAGATATTGGTATATCTACATTCATAGAGAGGGAGAGAGAGAGAGACAGAGAGAAATACTAACAGACCTGAAGGGAGGTATTGAAGCAATACAATAATAGTAGGGGACTTCAGTATTCTACTTTCAACAATGGATAGCTCCTCCAGACAGGAAATCAATAAGGAAATACTGGGCTTGAACTATACTGTAGACCAAATGGACCTAACAGACATATACAGAAATTCCACCCAACAAAGCAGAATACACAGTCTTCTCAAATGTATACAGAACATTCTCAAGTCTAGATTATATTTTAGGCCACAAAACTAGCCTTACACATTTCAGAAGATTAAAATTGTACCAAGTATCTTTTCTGACCACAATGGTATGAAACCAGACATTCATAACAGGAGAAAAACTTGAAAATTCACAAGTAGGTGTAAATTAAACACTATATGCTTGGAAAACTAATGGGTTAATGAGGAAATCAAAAGTGAAATAAAAAATATCTTGAAGCAAATAAAAATGGAAATGCAGTACAATAAAACTTATGAGATATAGCAAAATAGTTCTAAGAGGGAAGTTTGTAGCAATAAACACCTATATTAAGAAGGAAAAAGAAAGATTTCAAATAAACAATCTAATTTTACACTTCAAGGAACTCTAAAAAGAAGAACAAGTTCAGATGAAAGGTAGTAGAAGGAAAAAAATAACAAAAATCAGAGCAAAAATAAATAAAAAAGGAGACAGAAACCCTATAGAAAAGATCAACAAAATTAAGAGCTAATTTTTTGAGAAGATAAACAAAGTTGGCAAACCTTTAACTAGATTAAGAGAAAAAATAGAGAAGACTCAAATAAATAAAATCAGAAAGGAGAGGTGACATGGCAACTGATACCCCAAAAATACTAAGGATCATAAGAAACCACTATGAACAACTGTACTGCAATAAATTGGATAAGTTAGAAGAAGTGGATGTTCCTAGAAACATACAACCTACCAAGACTGAATCATGAAGAAATGGAAAATCCTGACAGGCCAATTAAGAGAAAGGAGATTGAATAGATAATCAGACACATCCCAGGTGCCTGGATGGCTCAGTTGGTTGAGTGTCTGACTTCAGTTCAAGTGATGATCTCATGGTTCATGAGTTCAAGTCTCACATTAGGCTCTGAACTGGCAGTGCAGAGCCTGCTTGGGATTCTTTCTCTCTCCTCTCTCTCTGCTCCTCCCCTGCTTGCTCTCTCTCTCTCTCTCTGATAAATAAATAAACTTTAAAACAAACAAACAAAGAAACAAACATCCCAACTAACTAATTAAAGTCCAGGACTAGACAGCTTCACTGGTGAATTGAATTCACTCTTTCAAAAAATTGAAGAGGAGGGAATACTTCCAAATTCATTTTAAAAGGCTAGAATTAACCTGATACCAAGGTCAGATAAAGACATTACCAAAAAAAAAAATTATTATAAGCAATTATCTCTGATAAACATGGATAAAAAAATCTCAATGAAATATTAGCAAATTGAATTCAACAATCATTATAAAGATCCTACATCATGATTAAGTGAGATTTATTCCTGGGATACAAAAGTAGTTCAACATATGCAAATCAATCAATATGATATACTACATTAATAAAATCATACAATCATCTCAATAGATGTAGAAAGAGCATTTGACAAAATTCAGCATCTCTTTTTCTAATGTTTATTTTTGAGAGAAAGAAGCAGAGGAGGGGCAGACACAGAGAGGGAGACAGAGGATCCAAAGTGGGCTCTGCACTGAGAGCAGAGACTCCAATGCGGGGCTTGAATTCATGAACCATGAGACCATGACCTGAGACAAAGGTCTCAGGACTGAGCCACCCAGGGACCCCTCAGCATCTTTTTGAAAAAACCTCTAGACAAAGTATAGATGGGCTATGTCTCAACCTAATAAAAGCTCTGTATGATAAACCCATACCTAATATTACACTCGATGAAAAGCTGACAGTTTTTCCTCCTAAGATCAAGAACAAATCAAGGAAGGTCACCTTCCCCATTTCTATACAACATAACACTGGAAATCTTAGACAAAGAAATTAGACAAGAAAAAGAAATAAAAGTTATCTAAATGGGAAATAAGTAAACTGTATCTGTTGCAGATGATATGATCTTATATACAGAAAGTCCTAAAGATTCTACCTAAAAACTATTAGAATTAATAAATTTAGTAGAGTTGCAGGATATAAAATCAACATACAAAAATTAGTTGCATTTCTATACACTAACAACAAACTACTTGAAAAAGAAATAAAAAACCCTATTTACAAAGACATTAAAAACAATAAAATACTTAGGAATAAATTTAACCAGGAGGTAAAAGATCTGCATATTGAAAATTATACAACATTGGTGAAAGAAATTGAAGACACAAAAAATGGAAAGATATTCTATGTTCTTGGATCAGCAAAATTAATATTGTTAAAATGTTCATACTACTCCAAGCCATCTATAGACCCAGTGCAATCCCTATCAAAATTCCAATACATCTTTCATAAAAACTGAAAAAAAGTCCTATAATTTGTATGGAACCACAAAATATCCCTAATATCCAAAGCAACATTGAGAAAGAACAAATCACACTTCCTGATTTCAAATTATAAAGCTATAGTAATCAAAATAGTACTAGCATAAGAATAGACATATAGGCCAATGAAATAGAATTGAGAACCCAGAAATAAACCTACACCTATATGGACAACTAAAATTTGACATGGAAGCCAAGAGGACTCAATGAGGAAAGGGTAGTTTCTTTAACAGTGCTGGGAAAATTGGATAT